TTCCAATAAAACTACATCTTTTCTATAAATTTACCTGACATTTGCATGTGAACAGAAGTGCACAAACACCATGAAACCTAAACTACTCCCCACTAGGTCAGGTGAAAATACTGTTGAATCATGAATCATAAAAGCAACCCAAGAAGGTCATTAAATCCAGAGGAGCTGCAGTGATCAAAAGCTCAGGGTATAACTATTAGTTGAAGATTCCTCAAATCTGGCCATGGATAAGCAAAAATAAGTTCATAGCTGAAAGAAGTACCCTTGTAAATGTAAAGGAGAGAACATAATAAGGCTGGTACTCAGTGACACCAAAACTCAGCTTTTTTATTATTTTTTTTACTTAAATGCAAGACGGTATGTGAAGCAGAAAACTACGATTGCACTTCGTCCTGAACCCACCGCTCTCCATCATGAAACTGACAGCACCTTGTTGTCGTGAAGCTTTTCTTCTAAAGATCTGAGACTGAGATGGAAGTTCACCTTCAGGTAGAACAATTACCCTAAACATATAGCGGATCTACAAAGGAAAAGCTAAAATCATAACTTATGTATGTGGTCTATCACAATAGTCTGTCAGGTAAGTGGTAAACACTGTAAGACTAAAGTGCTTTACAAGGTTAGAGAGCAAAAATCTCTACAACTGCCATGAATTAACTCTTGTCTGCTTTAATCAATGTCTACTGTGTGTTTTTAAACGCGTTTCCCTAAAACGAAACTCATGAAATATTTAAGGCAAAATTCAAATAGCAGCTTGTGTCGCATAGAATGCTATAGAATAAAACGAACGCTGAGAGCCAGCTGGCAATAAACATACACAGAGCTCACGTCCTGATTTCTTCCCACCTTTCCAAATGCTTACGCTTAAATCTGTGCTAATCCTGTGAGGATGTATGGCTGTTGCTCAGTCTGCATGACCTTCTCTCATCCTCTCTTCGCTGTTCTTCTTCCTTTGTCTACATATTCTGGCAGGTCTCCTACATTTTGCCTGAACAAAGAGCCAATCCAAAAAAAATCCACCTCTGCATCGCTCCCTGTGGTTCTCCTCTCATCCGTCATCCCCCTCCATTTCCTTCCATCTTTCTCCTCCTTTTCCTAATTAACTTTGTCGCCTTACTTTTTGGCACCCAGAGGTATTTTTCTGTATTTATTCTCATATTTCTTCTGTTTAACTTAAAGAGACATATTGTCACATGTCTTCTGTTTTGTCCATCTTTCTTTGTGTGTCATGTAGTCATGCACAGCTGACCAGAGTGTACAAGCTCCATCTAAATCAATTTCTTTGTCAGTGTTTGTGAATAAACATCAGAATATTCTTTGCACATATGCAGCTGTTTCAGCAACATAAACTCTGAGGAACAGTAAGAACAAGTATGCGCCGACTGAAGCGTATAACAGAGCATAATAAGATACAGATAATTGCGTCTTATCTGTACATTTTGAACTCTGATTGGAAGTGTCTTCAAGCTTTTCCCAGTTTTTGTACAAGGGTGGTTCAGTCTTCATTAAGCTCTATCAAGCTGTGCGTTCATGTGCGAGTTTTTATTAGTGTGAGCATAGTTGAGTGAAATCAGTGTGTCGGCCTCACTATTTTACACTAATCTTCCCTTCTTCCACATCACCTCGTTCACTGCAACATCCAGCCTGAGTTGTCCCTCCTGGGGTATCATTACCTCCTACACCTGGCTCCCCCTTCTATGAATGAGAGCTATCAGACTGGGCTGTTCTTCATCCCTCCATCAAACGTGCCCTTTCAGACATCTGACGTCACACACACACACACACACACACACACACACACGCTTACAAAACAGGACACTGGGACATGTTTCCTTGCAAGAGAATAAAGGACAAAAGGGACAGATTTGACACTGACACACTACTATTATTAACACTCAGCTGCTATACCACCTCTTCTAATTAGTGTATATTATGCTAAGAACAATCTAGAAGCCCCTTTGAAATCTTCCAATTGGATGTACAACACAAAAATGAGTATATTGTCTTACATATACAGATGTACATATAAAAAAATTATATTTCTTTCTCTGCATGCCTGCCTCCAGATATTTTGTTCTGACATGCCGACTGGTTAAGATTTAATACCAGACTGACCCCTGGTGGCAAAACAGACAACATCAATTTCTAGGAAAGTGAAAATCTACATTGTGTACAGGTAGACCGAGCAATTCATTGAATATCATCAACCTCATTACACAGGACAAATAAAGACACTCACAAAGGTCAGTAATGCATTAACACGGTCTTATTTGAGCAAAATTCACAACCTTCTTTGAGGTAGATACTCTAAAACAAAGAAGAGACTGGATTCTACACCTCTTTCTGTCTAAAGCTGCACATCTGTGCTGTGCTTGTTCTTTGCTCTGTGAGAAGTCTTCATTAATGTCAGGTGGCCGGTCTGTGGCCACGATCTCTTTGACACTCAATTCCAACTCCATTAGGCCTTGTTTCTGCCCGTCTGTGTGTGCTGCTGTCAGTTAACTCTGCTCTTTCTGTCTGCTCGTCACATTGTCTGGATATTTGGCTCCATGTGGGCAGCCAAGCAGAACACAAAGCCACTCGGTGCCGAGACTCGGCAGACGAGACACTGTACATGCACCCACTCAGCACAGCTATGGCTGTAAGTTAGAACAACAAAGTACAATTTCTCTTATGCTCCTTTTTATAACAAGTGACTGCAAAGATTAGTGAGGTCAAATATACTTGTTTTTTTGCATTGTACACATAACTGATAGGTGAAGGAGATGAGAATAATAACATTTGAAATCAGATTTTGGATTTTGACCCTATGTACATTTGAGTTGACAATTTAAACAAAGGCTCTAACAATAAGTGTTTACAATAGGACAAAGTTCATGCTACTATAAGCTACTATAAAGTAGCTTGAACTTTATAGGAGCTTTAAGTAGCACATAAAGTAAAGAGTATTAGTGAACATGCAAAGCTAGGTTGAGAATAAACGTTGTTTTATATGAATCAGATACAAAAGTTAAAGAAATTACCAACTCAACTAAAAAACACCGGTACAAATCCATTTTTAACTGATCTAGCTGACAAAGAAAAAGAGAAAGTAGAAATGTGCTAAGTTAAAATTAAGTATGCATCATTAGAAGAGGAATGATATGACTTTTCCCATTCAGTAGGAAGATTCACTTTTTGCATAATATTGTCAGCAAAGTGAACAAAGACATAAAGATAAGGACAAATTTGTTGGCAACCTGGATATATGAAAAGTCTCAAACCTAGATGCCCGAATTTATGTCCAAACAAACTTGTGTTTTTGTTATTAACCAGATGTTAAACTAATTTGAGATTCCTCATTTTGAACAATAAACCTACCGTTAATGTGCATTTAGGTGCCAATTCAATCCACTGAAGGAATGCAACAAATTTTTCTATCTCGATTCTTTCAATATGTACTATTTTAATTGTTAATCAGTTTTTTAAATATAATTTTTAATACTTTCAGAAGTATATGGAGTGAATACAGCATCAAGAAAAGACTATGATAGAAAATATTTCTATTTTTTCCCTTTAAAGCTCTGTAACTGTGATAAGATACATGTTTATTTCAACGCTTTATGCACATTTTCATTAAATGTGTCAAATTTGTCTGGGTGAGTCTCCCCTTCCTTGGAGAAAATAAAGCATGATATGTAGCAGGGAAAAACAAAGGTTATTTTCTGTCAAATCTGAGTGATAATAATCAGAAACATTATGTTAGCAGCCAAACACTGATATCTTAAAACAAATATCCGACGTCGACAATGTTGGATATTTGAGAGTCACGAAAAGCTATGCAGAGGTAAGAGGCAGAACAACTGATGTTATAGGAGATGTTGGAACAGCTGATTCTTGTAAAAGTTAAAACTCTCTCCTCCATAAATCTGTAGATGATGTCTGAAAAATGCAAACATAAATGATTTTATGCTTTGCTGCGTTTAAAGAGTAAACACTTTAACAGTTTGAAAAAGCAGACAATAATCATAGGAGGAACAGACACTTTAAGCAGATTAATGCTTTTACAGTTCGCTGTGAGTGTCGCTGAAAGCTTTTTTGCAATTTAAAATTCTCAAATACAACCTGACTCACTTCAACTTTCCGACAAATTGTTTAAAACACATCACAGACCTGCTGGAAGAAAGTGACATTGTGCAGAACGTGAGATATGATTGTAGTAATTAATATGGTCCAAAGATGCCAAACCAAAAACCAAATATATTTATGATGGAGGACCAAGGTGTTTAAACCAAAAACACACCTCAAACAGCTCTGTTTTGTACCATCATGTGTTCAAATATAGGCTGGTTCAAAGTGATATGAACCTTTTTAAGTTTCCAGTTCACTTGGAAATTTCTTATGTCTTTGAATTTTTTTAATTCTGATTCATTTCACAGAGGTCAGTTCCAACCAGCCATTTTTGTTTTTCACTGTAAGATAAAGCAGAACCTTAAGACCAGAAAGTAATGGCTAAATGGCAATTACCTTTGCTGCAGCTAAAGCAGTGACACAAAGCCAATATTCAAGCTGCCTGTAGATGCATTGTTAGACATATTATTGCGTAACTTTAGGTGTTATATGATGCAACCAGGGAGTCTGGTTTTAATGCATAAAGATTAAAAACTGACCCTTCCTCTATAAGAGCACTATGACTTTAAGATTTCAGTTTATTTTTTTAACGTGTGCAGCATTAACACAGATTGAGCACAAATTTAATACCTCTGGAACACAACGACATCAAAAAGTATTTACAAATCTTTCTTGACTGGACATTCTCTAATCATCAGTGACAGGAAGTCACAATTTAAAAATGTAAATTTGTACTCTGGTTTTTAGATGACCTGACATGTTTAAGTGTGAAAAACTATAAAAAACCAGAAGAAGCCTGTAAGGGGCAATACTTTTTCAAAGTACAGTGACAATAAAGGTAAACAGACCTCAAGCATGTCAAACTAGTCTCATCGCCAGGCTCAACTCACGTGGTGAAAGCTGGATTGTATTTGGCCCCCAGGTAGTATGAGTAGAGGTTGAACATCCCAATCATGAAGGCCACAAACACCATGATGAAGATGACCATGAACTTGAAGATGTCTTTGACGGTCCGTCCCAAAGAGATCTGCAGCGGGCCGAAGCTCTCGTTGGCTGGCAAGATGTAGGCGATGCGTGAGAAGCTCAGCACCACGGCGATGGCGTACAAACCCTCTGAGATGATCTGAGGGTCAGAGGGGCGCCACTTGTTCCTGGCTGAAGAAGAAAGGCAGAAATTTCTTTGTGTAAAAAACTTCAAGGATTTTAAACTGACTTTTAGTACCTTTAGATATTTCTTCAAGGAGAAAACCTTCTTGTAATCTTCTAAATTGATGTTTTTGAGTAGTTTTCTTTTGCTTTGTGAACCTTTTTGTACTTATTTTTGCTCCTTCTACCTGACCATGATAGTATATTCTGTAGTGCACTTAAAAATTAGGAAGGTAGAAAAGTTAATAATAGATAGAGGAAGAATTGTGAGGGATACAAAGAAAACTATGATACATAAATAAATTTTAAATGTCATGTCAAGACATGATACTGAACTAGTTTTCAACTCAGATCAACTAAAGCTTTCATACATAAGTATACCTAACACACAAAATAGATAAAATCAAAAGCAGCAAAAGATATATTAACAAAATTATTTAAATAAAACATTTTACATAAAATTATTTAAACTTTTTTCAGCTTTTTTCTGCTTGAATGTTTTGTATGTCAAATTCAGGTGGGCAAATAAACATAGAAATGAGGTAAAAGAAGCACTCTGAGAACTACCTGGTTAATTATGATCACTTCAAAAGACCACAAGACATACATGTTTCTTAAAAATACAACAAAAAACAACAGGGAGGGACTGAAGCATTCTGCAAGGTAGAGTATTTCTAATATGCTAGTATTTTTTTTTCCATCAACTTATCCCCTTGTTATTGGTTCCTGAATTGATACACATGTGCTATGGCTCTTTGTCCTTTAGGTCTGCTGGCTGCAAAAATGATAAAGGGTTAAAATTGAATCAAACATGCTGTACATTTTGCCATTGTCCTCATGTGCATATTGATTGCTTTTACAAATGTTCCTGATTGCAGAGCAGAGAAATATTCAGTAAAAGGGTGTGAATGAAAGTGAAGGCTTGGAAACGTTAAAAAAGCAAACAAAAGGAGAAGTTGGGGGGGGGGGGGGAAGAATTGATTAAACAGAAATGTAAAAGTAAATCTTTTAAACTGGACAGGAGAACAGCAACACAAAAGGCAATGCAGATAAGCTGAGAGTCAAAGGGAAGTGTGTGGAATAGAAATGTTAACCTTCAACTTAAAACTGCTGAATATAATAAATCTATAGTTTTGTCGTGTCTGTTAGCATCTATTTAGAACAATCTCCCGAGTCTTTTGTCATGACAAAGTCCGGCCAGCAGGGGGAAGTACTAGTGAAGTTTCTTTTCATGTGCAGATAATAAGCACATTACCTGCAGCCTGAAGTCCTTTTGCTACATAAATATGTTAGGCACCATTAAATGAATTAATTACTTGGTAAATATTTACACAGATGTTTGCTTCTTGTCATAAATTTAAGTAACACTAAATATCATACTTTCTAATCATTCCTCACATTATAGAATAATATGCAGCTTTGAATCTGATCACTTTGTTAATAGAATCACAAGCAGGCCACACCTGGCACGTCATGCTCTGCATATCAATTGATAAGCAACATCCATATCATTTTGCTTTGCACAAGTGCAATTATAAAGCTTTTCTAATACACATCTAGCAGAATCTCAAAAGTAGATTGTAACTCGTCGCTCTGTTATTTTCAACCATCATTTGGATCTGCGTATGACCACAATGCAAAAATCAAACGTGATCAATTATGCGCCAAATTTTTACACACAAATAAATGTTGCCGCTAAGGTGTGCTCATTATTCTGCTGTTGCTCCACTCTGCCTATTTACTGTGATCAACCAGAAGTCCTGGTCTGTGCTTAAAGCCTGGTGGAGAGAAAGGAAAATCTGAGTCACTGTATCATCTCCAACATTGTAAGGCAAAGTGATTACCTCTAGGGCCAATTCAGGGATGAAGCAACTTCAATGCCCAGTTCCTCTGTCGTATATACTGAGAATGGCAAGGCATAATGAAGATGCAGCAATATCATTTAGAACAGGAAGTGCTTGAGAGGCCATAAGCTGAAATGACCCTATCTTTAAAATGGTTCATTTAATCAACTGCTATGACAAAATCTCTATGATAAAATAATTTCCTGTTACTGTAGCAACATTTGCATTGCCTTTCACTGTGAAAGGAGTTTATTTACTTTGCTAGTTGCTCTTTTACTTAAACCCTGGACCTATTTTTTTTAAGAAATACCTTTAAAATTGGTCAGAAGTCTGCAGAAAGCCATCTACAAGCATCCCGGTTCATAGATATGCATGGTAATACCAGGTGCCGATGTTTCAGGTCAAAAGCTGAGATATTTCTGCATTTGTGACATTTACATATCTGATTTGAAGCTTCTTATTAGCAATCCATGTAGCATAGTAAATAACCAACCCAGAAAAGATTTTCAATTTTAAAACAATGTCAAACAATCCATTTGTGTGAAAAGAATAGCTAAACATCATAATAGAAGAGTTTCCACAAACGGGGAACTCAGCTTTTGCCAAAGCAAAGTTCAGCAAATGGTTGAAACAAACATTACTTATATTATTGCCATTTTTTCCTCCCCACAGTGTATCCACTGTTTACCGTAGGTGAAGTAAGCCACTTCGTCAGGCAGTGAGGCATTGCTGAGGTCTTCATCTGGCACATGCATGTCTACATACTGCTGGGCTTTAGATGCCTTCAGGAACGCCATGAGACGTGCCGTGAAGGACGCCACAAAGATGGACAACATGCCAAAGTCCAAAACGTTCCAAAGGTGCATGATGTACTCCCTGGGCCCATCGCTCCAAATCTCCTTACATTCTGACCAAATCATACCTAAAGGAGAAGAAACACGTCATAGTAAACGTCAGCATCTCATTATATGAGGATGAACATGTATGAAAAAGTACAAAATTAGAAATAAACTGAGACGGAAATCTAAATAAACTGCTAACAAAGGTTTTCCATTCAAATAAAACCACTTAAGAGATGCTATTTGATTCTCAGGTGTATACAAACAGACACACACATCTGAAAGCCAAATTCTTCGCTGTGAACCCATTATGTCTCCAGACGGAACCAAACAAGGGGAAAATTGCCTAGTGAAAAGGAAGCCCTGATCGGCACCATCTCTTTCACAATTACTGGATGACAAAAGCATGGCTGCGAATGAAATTATGCAGCAACTAAGCCACAAGCCTCTGTGCAAGCGCACACATGCGTACACATTTGGGGTAACACACAGTTGTACAAACAGCTGCTGCCAAAGATGAGCGTGTAAGAGGGACGAATGATGTTATTACACATAAGCAAATAAAAGCAGGACCATATGAGAATCAACATGGACAAACCACACTTATAATGTTGTTATGTGTGAATGAACGGGAGGGAGAATATCAGCAGATGGGAAGCAGCTGAGGTCTGACAGATATCGCTGTGGGCTATTTATCCTTTGAGTTTGTCTTTGTCATTCGCCTCTATTTTCTTGCTTTTTTGGTGAGCCACACGCTCCATTCTTGTGCACTCTTTTTTTTATCTTTCTTTTTTAGCCACTTCAAACTTTTCCTTCATTTCTGCTTCTCTCCAGCTCTCTGTATATTTCCTCAGCACAACATCTCGGGTGAACCTGAAACTTTCCCTCCAGGCTCATCATTAAGGCTCAGGATGAATACTGCTTCGGCAAGTCAGAATGGGACTGAATCCATGCTGGCAGTAACCTCTGTTTGATCTTTGGAAGATGAAAGAGTATAATTGGTTGTACAACTATAACCTTGTCTTTTATCCACTTGGTTAGTGTGTTGCTGTAAGAAATTTTAATTATGCAATGTCTGAAAGTCGGGCAAAACGTTTCTGACCCTGTAAGAGAACCTGTACTCATTTACAAAGGACATGGTTGAAACAAACCTTGGTAACATTTTATTTGAAGGGGGTTGAATAAGACTGACATGACACTGTCATAAACATGACATATCACATGTCATGAACATGAATAAGCCTTCATGAATATTTATGACTTGTCATAAAGTGTCATTCGGTAAATTATGACACTTTTAATACAAAGTTGACATGATTCAAAATGTCTGTTATGACAACTTGACATTAACCAGGAAATCATTACTGTTTAAACTTTACCTTTAATAACAAAGTTACCTAATTTTTAAAGTGCAATCAGTAATACTTTTATAACAAATTTATATCAGTAATGATTTCCTGGTTAATGTCAAGTTGTCATAACAAAGACATTTTGAATCATGTCAACTTTGTATTAAAAGTGTCATAATTTACCGAATGACGCTTTACGACAAGTCATAAATATTCATGAAGGCTTATTCATGTTCATGACAGGTGTTATGTCATGTTTATGACGGTGTCATGTCAGTCTTATTCAACCCCCGTCAAATAAAGTGTTACCCAAACCTTTGTTTGGTATCTACACTCTCTTTCTTTGCATACATCTAGTGTATACATGCAGTGCTCCATAAATGTATAAAAAAATCTGAAGTATTCTAACATTATTGTTTTTTATTTAAATGTGAAATTATCAGTATATTTGTGCATTATTCGACTCACCCAACACCCACTTCATGATCAACATCTCTGTCCATGAGAACTGTGTGGTTTTGACCCTGAAAACCTGTCGGGGGTGGTCTGTGATGGTCTCGTTGGGCAGGTTCTTCACGCCCTCGAAGCGGTCTGAAGCATTGACGACCAGCAGGCCGAGGAAGAGGGTGAAGGAGACGGCGTGAGCCACAAACTTCATGAAGGGACTGCGGAGAATCTGACCAAGCTGGAGGCAAAAATAACAGGATTTAGCTGGTTTGTAGATATTGTTGAAAAAAATATCTTCAAAACACAACAGGAATGTTTTAAAATTGTTGAGTTACCTAGGAGTCAACCTTAAAGCATTTTTTTCAACTATTAAGATTGAAGCCAAACACAAAATCTGTTTATCTTTCCTCAGGTAACTCAGCCTTTCTGAGGAGTTATACACATACTGGTCCTCAGAGATGAAAAGATGGAAAGCATCACTACAAACCCATCTTAGCAGGAAAACAGCAGCTGTTCTAATTCAATGATCCATTTTCCAAGCAACATAATGCCAGAGTAACTCACTGCCAAACAATCAACAGTTAACAGAAAAGCACCATATGGACAGGAGGAATGGCTGGAAGGTACTGAGCAAAAAGTGTTAAAAATTACCACAAGGGTTGCACCACAGTATGTCAGCGATTATAAACACACACATGCTCTCACTCGCAGCCACATATAGACCTCTGGGATCTCAACATTTGCCAGTCTCATAACCTGCTGTGTTCAATATTAACTACCTACGGGACACCTCTACCTGCTCTATGCAGAATAATACGTGAAAGTGAACGGATGCAACACACACTGCTACATCAAGCAGGTAAAGGTTGCCTGATCATTTTTAACCCTGTAAAACTTTATCTAAAGATCTGGCCTCCTTCATTTCACTTTGCTGATGCATTAAAGAGACTGGTCCAACTTCACCGTCAGCCTCATAAGACGGCCAAAACTGATCAGGCTTTTGTTCTCTTGATGCATGAGAACAGCAAAGCATGAGGGTCTATGAGTCGAGAAATCATAGACCCACAATGAAGCTTTAGTGCTCTCTGACTTATCAAGTGGCACTAAAACCTGCACTGACTGTAACAGAAATAAATTTTGGTATATGTACATGTGTGAGCACTGTGTGTAAATCTAATTTACTCTCAAGGACATAAAGGTTTTAGCCTTTAAGTCGTTTATGCACACTGCACAGAGCTCAGCACTTTATGACTTCCAGTATTTGTAAACTCGACAGGTATAAACCTTTATGTTTAGGTTTTAAGCATAAAGGTCTTAACCTTTAAGTTGTTTATGTACACTGTGCAAAGCTCAGCACTTTATAACTTTAAGAATTTGTAAAATCAACAGATATAAAGTACTTTCTAATTCGTGATGTGAACTGAGGAGTCATAAACCTATGTTAGCAAAATTTGTGCTGTTCTTGCGTCATTTTCAGATCAGGCCTTGAAGTGTTGCTTTATATGTTTTGTATATGTACATATGTTTCTTTTATATGGTGGGAAATGGTGGAAAAAAAGAGAAAAAAAGTATATTTTGCTGGAATAGTTAAAAAACATTTACAACATATTACAGTCAAATGCACTTGACTAAAACTTTTCATAACAATGAGAATAAAAAAAAAATTAAGTTAGCAATCCACATTATTTTCATTAGCTTGTGTTTTCCAACTGGTAATTTGAATATAAAACATAAAACAGACAGAAAATACAAAAAATGGGTGCTTGCCTTTGTTTTCATTTCAGCTCCTTCCTTCTGTTTCAGTAATTTCAGTAACACCGAGACTTCATAATGTATTTTACCTTTTCTGTCTGAAAATAATCAAGTTACCTGGAAGCACAGATCTGGAAGTAACACATGCTGTTGGAAATTTGATTTAGTTTTGATCCCAGAACATGGCGCCATCAGCTACCACCTACATTGTGCTTTGGAAGGTCCTGCTTTTGTCCCTGCACCAAATAAGAGGTGTACTTTTATAGAAAACTGTATTTTGATTCTCCAGACAAAACTGAAAAGGTAAGAACACTCACTTTGCAAACTTAAGCATTTGTGTTTTAAATCAATTGGATGACTGCTCACAAATGTTGAATTGTTTGCAAATGTCAGCATATCATTGATTTTGTTTGCTTTCATAATCACCATCAACAAAGAGCCTTTCTGTAATTACTGCTTGCAATTATGTTCCAAGATAAGGACAGCAAATCCGCCATAATTCCAGAAGAACTTATTTTTATTTACTCCATGTTCCTCACACACCCCCAGCCCGACTTAATTAGCCAAACAGAGACTTACAGAGCCAAGTTAATCCTTGACAAAACACCTAAGACTCATCTCTGGAGGCTTCAACCAGTTCACATAAGAGTCACTCGTTCTCTCTGTACTCGGCTGCTCTCTATGTGGAATTTCCTACTTCATTCAATAGAAATGTAGATAAAAGCAAAATTACATCTTAGATGTTGAATAATATTTTGCTGAATTTCCATAAAAATCAGTATTGATAGCTGTATTTGATAAGGCGTTACTAAAGTGTTACATAAAAACATCAAAGCTTCTCTGCAGCAGATTGAGGCCTTAGCTATCTCATTTTAAAATTCAACTACCATGCAGAACAGCACTGTACTGCACAAATCAGTTTTCCCATACGTAAACAGTATTTTTTTTTTGTCAATAATAACACCAGTAATCCCCACATACAAAGAAATCAAAAAGAATTGTCCATGAGCAAAAGACTATTAGGCAGATCTCCATGAAGACTTGGAATTAGCAGGTACAATTTTCATTAACAAGTAACTTACAGCACAAGACTCCACTGCTGAAGGGAAAAGAAGTTAAAAGTTTAAAGTTTGCTGTACAGCTTTTGAACAAGTTGAAATAACTGAACAACAGGCACTAAACATCATCCTAAAAATAAAAGACCAGCAGTGAATTTGATAGTCAGAACATGATGGTAGCAGATGAATGGATAAATGTGCTGAAACAATAAGAATCTGAAAATGAACAAAGGTACATTTTTCAGCAAGAAAACAATCGTAAAGTCAGCCAAGGAAATGATTTCAGAGAAAGAAAATAAAACTGAGGGAATGGCCGAACAAACCAACTCAAATTAAAAAATCTAAACCTGAGGATCAAAGTGCACACAAGAGGCCAGTCTAGATTTTTTTAGATTCTTGTTTTGCAGTAGTTATCCTTTTGCCCTTGAGAAGACAGTTTTGTCTTTACAACCTGATAAATCTAGCTACCAGAATGATATAATTAATACTAATAAACAGCAGCCTCTACATCCCTAAATCAACACTTCATTTTAGTGCACTGCTTCTTGTGCTCTTTCCAGTGTCACAAATTACAGACTGTCAGATCCAGCCTCATCGGTTGGCTGATTCATAATTAAAAGTAATCATGCGCACACACACACACACACACACACACACACACACAAATATTTTCGTGACACAGTGAGATCAAACGCAGACAGTCTGTCATGATTGAATCCCTGTCTCAGTGGTGAGGAATCTCGCTGCTGTATAGCACTCGCCATCCTCTCATTCAAACACTCGAGATCAGCTGCTCTCACTGCCTGCAAAATGACACACTCATCAGTAAAAGACCAGGCATGAACCAGTGGTCCACAACACTGTCTGTGAATCTTGCACACACACACACACGCACGCACGCACGCACGCACGCACGCACGCACGCACACATGCATTCCCCACTTGATGATGAGGTTGTAGAGGATTATCCAGCATGATGAGCAGATTTGCATAACTGCTTGCAGAGTTCCTGTGCATGGCCTTTGCAATATTGTCACTCCACAAATTATAATTTCCTTGATGGAAAATTAAGAACGTGTGATAAAATGCCTTTGGCACTGTAATGAAAAAGTGAGAAGTCAGTAGTTTTTAAACCTCAAGGCATACATCTTAATCTGTCAAAAGCTGGTTCAGACTTTGTAAGGAAACTCATGTTTTCACCTCAATTGCTCCACTCCAACAACCACAACCACGAGTTTCAATAATTAGTGTCCAGCTCGGAGAACAGGACTGTGTGCAGTCTCCGCCAAGGCTGCCCTTTGTCACCGATTCTGTTTATTACTTTCATGGACAGAATTTCGAGGCAGACGCAAGGTATTGAGGGGATCAGTTTTTGTGGTCTTGAGACGGAAAAGGGTAGAGTGCCTTCTCCGGGTCAGGGGGGTCGTCCTGCCCCAAGTGGAGGAGTTTAAGTATCTGGGGATCTTGTTCACGAATGAGGGAAAAATGGAGCAGATTGGCACAGCGTCTGCAGTGAAGCAGGTGCTGTACCGGTCTGTCGCGGTGAAGAGAGAGCCGAGTCAAAAATCGAAACTCTCAGTTTGCCGGTCGATCTACGTTCCATCCATGGTCAGGAGCTTTGGGTCATGACCGAAAAAACGAGGTCACGGATACAAGCGGCTGAAATGAATTTTCTCCATAGGGTGTCTGGGCTCTCCCTTAGAGATAGGGTGAGAAGCTCAAATATCCAGCAGGGACTCAGAGAAGAGCCGTTACTCCTTCACATCGAGAGTAGCCAATTGAGGTGACTTAGGCATCTGGTTAGGATGCCTCCTGGACACCTCCCTGGTGAGGTGTTCCGGGCACGCCCCACAGAGAGGAGGCCCCAGGAAAGACCCAGGACACGCTGGAGGGACTATGTCTCTCAGCTGGCCTGGGAAAGCCTTAGGATTCCCCCAGAGGAGGTGGAACAAGTGGCTGGAGAGAGGGAAGTCTGGGCCTCCCTACTTACTTTGCTGCCTCCATGACCTGACCCCAGGATAAGTGGAAAAAAATGGATGGATGGATGGATAAATATCAGTTTTCAAATTATGTTTTTGTTTATAATGAGAAAAATGCTATCCAAACCACCTGGGTCCTATATGAAAACGTGACTACTCCCCTTGTTAAGTTACAAATCAAATGTTATTTACAGATTTTTTTAAGCTCCATTCAATTTTACTAGCTTAATTACTGCCAGACTTGTAGAATCAAGAAATCATTTCAATAAAAGCTGTTTGGCAACATGAAGGAGGATAAAAGATTTTAAAAACCAAAATCCATCATGTCTTCTTCACAGCACTGTACATCTTGGATGAAGTTTTGTTTTAGCGTACAGCCTGGGAATCCATGAACCATATCAAAAGTTAAATGTGTACAAGAGAAAAACCTTCTCAAAAAATAAGATGATTGAATGAACCATTAGTCCATCACTATCTTTGAGCTTAGCTTCAACCAACCAGACCAGTAGAGGTGTGCCAGCTGTTAAATTACTTTAAAAAAACACACACGCACACACACACACACACACACACACACACACACACACACACACACACACACACACACACACACACACACACACACACACACGCATAGCTGTTTGAAGAATAAAATAAAAACAACTCTCCCACCAAGAAAGCCCTCCAGGAATATTACTCAAAACAAAAATATTCTCTAATTCCCATGTATACTGCTTTTCTTCTTCTGTTATTGGTTGCTGGTGACATCCAATACCTACAATTAGAGGTAAAATTAAGAATGCCCCATGATGATATACCACATAGTGACATCTAAAGCAGCAAAAACGTGAAGTAGTAATTTTCTGTCTGACTTTCTCCGTATCTCCCTCTGTTCAGAATAAAGGTGTTTTTTTCTTAATAACATAACTCCAGCTAATTAAGGCTTTCATGAATTGTGTTAGTTTCTGCAGAGCTTTTCTGTTAAAATCCCAGTAAAGCATTTCAATTAATTTGAGATATGAGCTTTGAATGAGCCACTGCAACACCTTGGGTCTTAACACTTTCACCTATTCTGTTTCAATTTGCTGTGTTTGAATCCACAGTCTGGTTGCATGATCCGGTTTCATCTAAACTCCAGCTGTCAAACAAACTCACATTTGACTCTGGAATACTTTGGTATACAAAGGAGTTCATGGTTGAATCAGTGACTGCAAGGTGCAGAGATCCTAAGTATGTTGATTTCTTAAATATAATACCGTGTACTACAGCGGTGGCTCTCTATTTCAGTCTCGCATATCTAACAGACATTGCTCCAAAAGTCTTTGAATTCAGAATTGACTTTCTCATTGCACTCCTTTCAAAAAGCCACAATTACTTGAACCTATTTTCAACATCTCCTGTCAAAAGCTTTGACATTTAACTTACTAACTATATCCAAAAGCAGCAGATTATTCAAGCAGAACAAGAATGCTAGATCTTTATAACATCATAATGCAAAATTGTTGGTACTGACAACGTCTACATGCCAATCTATTTCTGAGTTACACTCAGAACTAGACAAAAACAATACCAGTGCCAAGTAAAAGACGGCTGTGATAACCTTAATGTTAACCTTTGGATTAATTATTTAAGCCCACAACTCCATTTAGATGTTACTTTGCACATAGAAACAACCATATTTCAAAGACTGTGCTCCACACTTCTTTATGTTGCTGTTGCTGTCAGGTCCTACCTTGCTACATGGCATTATCCAGTAGGCAATAGCCAGGAAGGGGAGACCTACGGTTACCCCCAGGACTGTCCAGCACTTCACGCCGATGGACTGCTGCCTCAGGCCAGGTAGGTTCTCGTACCAAATAGTGAGCAGCTGCTGCTGGCAGTTGGGATGTGCAACGAACTGAAGAGAAAAAGCAAACAGAAAATTAAAAAAATCTGGAAATAGGAGGGACAAGGAAGTGGAAAAGCAAGATGAAAGAAAGGCAGTTAAAGAAGAAACAAATGTGTCTTATTAATGTATTATGTTTGCTTAATTGTGCCACTGTGCGTTTCCATTTCTTTGTCAATTTCATGTCGATACTAATACATTTTGCTACAAAGGACAATAAAGGATCACTCTATACTAAAATAAAGTTTATTTAAAAAAAATAATGAAAACAAGCATCTGGTTCATGCAAATGTCTTCAGCAACAGGCCTGTCCAATTTCTGTCTCTCTGGTAATTCTGCATACTGTTTTCTTTACTACAACAAAAGAAGAGATTACAATGGTTTGTGTCGTTTGACTATTTAGTAGCTAATTTAATCATCAGTTGATCAATAATTTCCTGAGTTAATTCATACCTCAGTAAAACAGGGGGATTGCAATGAGGCGTTGAGCTGCATCATTATTTTATTCAAAAACTCTATGAGTACTAAGAAACTACAATTTATAGTTTTAAAGTGAAATTGTTTAGCCTTGGGAAGGTTAGCTATATTTCAATGTGCCTAAACTGCAGCGTGGGCGACAGGTCTGAACTTCAGGAAGTTGATTTCTGGTCTATGCTCTTATGCTGCCGTTCAATATGTGCAACAGTTGGAGTAATGTTGTGTGACATCAGTCCAAAGAAAGCACTGAACAAAAAGCTGCAAAACGTAAATTTCTAACTGTGCCTATATGCACTTTGACCTTAAACAAAAAGTATAAGATAACCAAAATGATAGATGTAAGGAATGACCATGTTTTCTCTATTCATTGAGGTAAATTAAGTAGAAAATCTGTTCTAGTTGAATAAACATTCAGTCATAAAGATCTAGATCTATTACTCAGTTATATGTACTGTAAATGTATGAATGACTTTGAACTGCATTAATTTTGAATACAAGTCTTTGAGCAGCTTGTGAAATCAATTTTCAAAGGAAAGCATGAAAGAGGGCAGCAAGTAGCAATGACTGAGTGCACACATTAATTAATGACATTACTCAGGGAGAAAAATGAAAGGTAGCAAAGGTATTATGGAGACAAATAGAGTACATGCTTCTCTTTTAGCTGGAGGAAGGATGTGGGATGGAAAGGGATCAATGCTCAGTCAACGGCTAAACCTAACAATCAAATTCCATGTGGAAGTGTTATTATGCTCATGTTTAACGTCGCAGGGAGCTGATTTTCTGTTGGTTCAAACATGCTTTCTCTACATCTTTGTTGCCTAAACGTTTTCATCTCAGTCGTTTTCTCCTCCATCCCAGAAGGGTTGGATTCATCTGATCAAATCCGACAATAGCAACACACATGGATAAGGTGTATTTGTGCAGCAGTTCAGTTAAAAAACAACATAACACTAACCCATATACCCCTAATGCTGCCTGTGTCCAGAAATGCGAGCTCAACACAGTCATGCTCCACCTTGTTCCTACAGCACTGTGTCTCATCCCTGCAACTTCAGTAATTAGCAGCTTGCTAGTGGAGATGCTTTTGTTTACTGGTTAAAAACAAAAAGAGCATCAAACAGCTTCCTTGCTGCCCAACACACACACATAACAGAGATGCAGGAAAGCAATTTCTAACATAAACATACACGTGGGTAGCTATGGTTCAGAAAAAAAACATACAGCACTGATGCCAAATGGAAATATGTGCCAACGGGACTGTTGTGAAGTGAAACTGGGGAAAAGGGATTTGATTTGACATTTTAAAGCCACCTCTGCTCAGCGCGGATTAGTTCTCCCATAGGGGCCTGTCGCTTACATTAGGTTTTCTACAGCCATAACAAAAGTTTTCAAATTTGTTTTTTGTACAAACATTTCATCCTTACCCACATATAGTTATTAAATGATCCAGGCGCTAATGCTGAGTTCATTAAGTGTTAATGCAAGACCCAATTACCATGAAAGGTTTGAAGCTTTTTTACAGATACACCAAATGAAACATGAATCTGTAAATCAATTTATGTCTTTTAGCAATTTTTTTTGCTGAAATATGTATAAAATTTATGCATTTTTAAATCCAGCTGATGTTAACTACTCCTCATAAAAAACAAACAAAAAACCCCCCCAAAAAAACAATGTTACCCTTGATGAATCATTTCTGACGTTTATTCTCTAATTTCAATTTAGGAAAGAGGATAAACAATTGTTCTTTTTCACTATACACACTCATTATATGTTTGTATTATGCAACTTGGAAAAACAATCTGAATGGTCTTCATGATGTCCATCTCCATAGACAGCTTAACATCTATCATGTTCATAGTTGGATATGAATTTCTACTCAGAATATTATCATTGTTCTGGGTATAATTGTTATATATCTGATTATATATATCTGTAATTAATTTTCATGTTACAAACAGTTGACCACATAACAGGCAAATAGTTTTCCAAAATGTTTCAATATTCAGAAGTAGTTATATTAATCCTAAAACCATGACATGTATTCCATGTATCCCTCAAACTCAAACTTTGGTTTGTTGGTTTGGCTTTTCTAGGACGAAGTGGGTTGAAAGGAATATAAGTGATTGCTCAGCCAACATGTCTTAGGTAGCGGAAAAGCTTTGAACTATATATTTATATTTTAAACAAAATGCTACAGTTTTTTTTACTTTTATTTGTAGAGCTATTGAGTGTTACACAAAATATAGTCTGCAGAATGAGCTGGATTCTTATTTTGTTTATATATACGCATATATGAATTATGTTTATTGGTGAAATTTATTTTTCTTAAGCTTTTTTTGTATTCTGCATAGATGTTGTTAACTAATAAAATCTTGTTTTTGCAACGATTTTATGCTTGGTTGGCTTTTCCTCTCTGTGTAGCTTGTGATAGACAGCAAGCTTTATTTATCCTTTCATAACACATTCATTTTAAGCTCTTTGTATAACACTTTGTTGAACTGTAACATGTCCTCAACAAACCCTATTATGACTGGATTATGTCAGGTGGCTTTACTAAGCTTAGAAAGTATTCTTTATATTGGATTTCTGCCTGTAGCTTTTAAAGATCCATTACAATCTAAGGTATACTATTTTGCAGTGAAGGCAACTTGATCTCATAACTCTGCTGGTTAGCTTATTAACATGTAACTTTCAAATAAAATGGGATACAACCCAAAAGTGTGAGTGAAAATCCTTTAGAGTGGAAAAACATTTTTTTTTGTCTCTTTATCAACAGCAGGTCAAAAGTTTAAACTCACATAAGAGTATAGACACAGAAGACTTCAAGACTGCACATTGATCTAATTAAATATGAACAGTTTTGAGATTTTTTTAAATCAATCATTTAATATACAACATTATGTAATATCAAACATATGAATTAATCTTTTTTGAGTGCCATGTTATCAAAAATAGAGCTAAACTTCATTTGTTCTTTGTTTTAATCTTGTTTATATTTCACTCTATATATCTGGTTTAGCAATTTCCTGTTTCTAAAATTTTTTACTTTATTCGTACCTTCTTGACTTCATATTTGATGGCCAGCTTGACGCGACTGAGGCAGGGCCGGTTGTAGGGACTTGGTGGGCATTGGTCCACATCTCCATTCAAAATGGCCTCAACTTCTTCTGTGTCTCGACAAAGGTCCAGCACACCCACCACAAAGTCTTTGCATTGCATGGACAACTTACGGTAGTCATTCTGCAGAAGAGAGAGGCATTAGAAGCATTAATAATATCAGAATCACAAATAATGTCAAAAACAACTTTTATACAATGCAAGCAGTTAAACAGGTATTTAGTGTTTTTAGTAACCATCCACCACTTTCTTTTTTATTACACATGATAAAAAAAAAAAAACAATTATAAGGTACAATATATTCCATGAACTAAATATATCTTATGGATCTCATTTTTGAGAAACAGATTTTGAGTTCCACCGTCTAGCGTCAGTGTCTCTGTACGTGACTTTTGTCTTACATTGCATGTTGGACACAGAAACCTGCATCAACTGTTTCTGAATAGATAAAAGATAAACCGTCATGTTAATTTTTCAGTTCTGCTAACCCTCCTGCAGTCTTAGTGTGACGCTCAGGAGGAGTGCAGCAAATGTCACGGATGGACAGTGGGGAAACTGGAGTTCCCCACGGAAACTTAGACTATCAGTTTCCGAAACCACACACACAAAAAAAACCTTGTAAAAGCGCACACAGCGTCAGTGTGACTCCGCCGGACTGCGCACAAAGCAAAACACTTGTGGGACTGTGGGAGGGTTAAACATCTTCAGTCCTTTCATGTACATACTCTATGCTGAATCAGATTAGTTAGTTCAATTATTTTGTCATAAATTAAAATGTGCATTAATTACAACACTGTAAAAATTCTGTACATTTCGTATATGTCACATGGGATTTTAACTGATAATTTGACAGCTTAATTTCAGATGTAACAGAAATGTACCAGAATATGTTTATTATGAATTTGTCCTCACAACTTATGTGTGAACGATAGTTATTTTAACTATTAAATTAGTGAACTTTATCTTCAGTGACAAAAAGCAAGCTTTCTAAAATTAGCTTGCTCTGTCACAGTTGCTGACCAGGCACTTCTACAATTTGCAAAGGATGCCAACACAAACTCATACAATGTCACAAATAAAAAAAAAAATGTCACGATTGTGGGATTTTAGGTTATTTTGGGTTAAAAGTCACACTGGTACGTGATGAGTGATTATACACATCGTTGAATGTGTGTGAGACTGTGGGTTCTTATACCATGCTCTGTGTGTGTGGGGTGTGTGTGTGTGTTAATGTCACCTCAGACAAATTGCTGGTTTATTCTCTCAACTGACATTCACACTTCACACTGTTTTAAAGTTCCTGAACCTTTTGCCACTAATACTTGAAAAAGCTTCCCTGACTTTTGACATGATAAATGACAACCCCACTGTTTGCAATTATAAAATGACTCAGGTGTTAAATAATTTAAAGAGTTCATCTGCCAGTTCGTGACCTCTTCTTATGAATCATTTCAAGATTACCTTTGTCAGAAAAGGGGGGAAAAAAAAATCTCAGCCAACATCGCAATATGTAGCGCTACATTTCAGGAAACTAGGAAATGTTTTCTGATTAGGGTTGCTGGTCAGGTTAAAAATACCTTTTTAAATTACCAACCTCAATAAGCCTACATCTCCACAGTAAAAAAGTTTTTCCTTTTGTTGTCTGATGTAATACACTAATTGTAAATGTTCAGTCTTCATTAACTGTAAGCGATAAATCATTGACAGAAATTAAGGACTGAAAACATCATACAGTGTGTAATTAATCTATATAATGCGCTTCCCTTAGTACAGAAATAAATGAGCTTTCCAGTGATGTTCAAATTTATTGAATATGACTGTCTGTCTCTGTCTTTCTTTCCATTTGTTCATCCTTTCGTCTATTACCTCAAAAGGGTCAAAGACAGGAAAAAGAAAGTACAAAGGTCAGATTGAACGTTTGTTTGTTGTTGAACTTCCTGCAAAGCTTTACGAAAACAAAGGATTCATGAGATCTCAGTAAAAGTTAAGATATATACAAATTCTTTTGAAAAGTCAAAAAGTGTGTTAAATTTTATTTTGCAGACCAATTTTTTCCACAGCCAGGTTTTTAAAAATCTAAACTGTATGTTGCTCACCTACTGATCATGAACTTCATTTGCATTCCTTCAGTGTGTGACCCCTGTGATGATTGTGTTCTTCCAAGCATAACTTGTATCATTTGTGCTGAATATAAAATAGTGATGTTAGCTCCTGCAGCAGTGTGCAGTTTCCTTGGATTCATTAATAAAACTAGAGAGAAGTGTGTTAGATGACTCATCACTGTCTGTCAATTAAAGGAAAATAATTTGGACTATCTGTTAGAAACATCTGTTTGGACTCCGTTTCCAATTTAATCTCAACACAATACATCAGGGTGCTACATGTACCAATGTATTGATAAGCAACAGCATTTACACGGCAAGATGGGAAAAACAGATGATACGCGTATAAAAATCCAATACCAATGTCAGACGCATGTTGTTTTTTTTAGCAGGATATGAGATTACAAAAGATTCACGAGATTAAAATTGAATGATGTGGCGTGAAACAGATGAAATGGTGAGGAACCGAGGAGGGATAAACAAGACAAAACTGGATATGAACAACAACAATCAAATTTTACTGAGAGTTAAACTCATTCAACAATTAGCTTTGTGTTTCATCCTGGTTCTTTTAACATTTAAATCAGCTAAATTAATTAAAACAGAACATCAGACCTGTGTAAGTGAAATAACTCCTTCCCCCACTGCACTTTCTTAAAAAGGGTGGGTGCCTTTGTCCGGAGGCTGACATGCAAAATTGATAGTCTGTCTTGAAAAGTAAGATGTTTGATGATAAATGTCAAGTCACTGTGGCAGGTTCTGGTGCCGGTAGCTGTACTCACATCTTCATTTAATGTGTAACTTAAGAACAAAAGAAATTCAGCATTTTTTGACGTCAGATATTTTGCCAGAGGAAATACAGCTGGTACTTTCTCTCGCAGTTGTGTTCTTTTTAGAAACACACACACTACTGAGATTTTTTACACACACTTATTCTATATTATCCCAATGTTTAGGATATTAACTCAGAGCTTCCAGTCATCAGAAAAGACTGATGTGAGGTCTACAGAGGCTTGTTATGTCTGGACAGGTGGATGAAGCTCAGACATGTTGAAACCTGCAAAGCACACAATACAATGGATCAAGTCTATAAAAATATCTGAGTTTTAGACTTTTTTTAAGACAGACCTCAGAGGATAAATAGGTGCCAACTTTCATTTAAAATTAAGTTCTTTTATTTATTTTTTTTAACAGATTCAACCGATAACCATTCCCACATTAATTAAAACAGATCTACTGCTAATTATCACATGCTTGTTTCAAGTCAACATGTCTGCTTGGAAATAGGCCTGTGGATGTTTTCTGCATTTATGAACTAGAGAAAAGCTCTAACTACTCAAACTTAAGCAAAGTTTCTAACACCCAAGAAATAAACAAAAGGGAATGAATATTGTTGGGTTGTGATGATGTAAATTTGGAGGCTACTCAAATCAAAAAAGGCTGCTGTTCACAAGCTGTCCTTCAAATCTCAGATATGACAGCTGTGGTGGTTGTGTGTATGCCGTGATTATGATTATGCATCTGTGTGGCTCTGAGATGACACGGGAGCTGATGGCATAGCTTGATTGCAACACCCAAAGAGATTTGGAGCACCTGGTACCAGATCTTTTTTAGATGTGCAATTACCAGCTTCCAACATGGAAAGAGTATATCTTTTTCTGGTCTCTCCTCATTTTAGGGACTTATTTTATTTATTTGGATAATTTCCGATCAAGTTTTTAATATAAAATCTAAACATTAGCGTAAAGTTAACAGCCAAAATGTATATTTATTTTCTTAGTTTTTTTCAGAGAACAAGTTCAGTTTGAAGCTGAATGATGTAGCAGTTGTTGCCATGCAACAAGACGCCCTGGGTTTGAATCCCGGCCTCAAATCTTCTAATATGGAGTTTGAATGCTTTCCTCGTATATGTGTGGATTCTCACTGAGTACTCTGGCTTCCTCCCACAGTCCAAAAACATGACTGTTATTTCAGTGTTTGTTTAATCTGTCTATTGCCCAAAGACTGCTGGAGACAGCCACAAGCCCCACAGTGACCCTGTAAGGAAAAGCAACAACAGACAATGGAAGGATGTTCAGTTTACTATAAGTCGCTTTTGTTGTATTTCCTATTTCTGCCTAAAAGTCTCAGCCAATTTGATGACCGAGAGGAATACTAAATTCTTGGAAGAGAAAAAACTTTAGTCTCTAAACCTCAACAAAGCATTGTGCAGCAGATGCAACGTATTTTAAAATACCAGCCAATAAAAAAACACACACACACAAACACAAAAAACAACATGTACAATCAGAAAATGATTATAAATGTCATTTTGTGATTTACATCAGAAAATGACAGATTTTTGACAGATGAAAATAAGAACAGATTCTTAGAGATACTTTGTAACACGTGAAAAAATTAAATACTGCTTTGTGTAGGATATTAGGAGGCCAAAGAAATGTGTCACTTCCTCCTGCTGCAATTCTAAGCCTAAATGTACAAAATCATTCATAACACTGGTTGATTTGAGTTATGATAATAACTTTTATTTAACCAAGAAGATACTTTTTTAAAGAAAATATGCACATCTCTCAAAATATCTAAAAGCGGTATTGTATATTTTTTGTGTTTATCGATGTTTAAATGAAAATTACATGGGCCAAGTTTAAGTATGCCCTTCTCAATAAAGATTTTATTGGAATTGCAGCAATGAAATACTTCTTATAATAGCTGATCATGTTTTCTCATGTTTCTACTGGCATGTTCGGTGATTTAAATTTTTGCAGTGTGTTCCATGTCTTTCAGGTTGGGAGGCCTCCTTTTCATTATCCTAATCTTTAGCTCCCATCTCAGACTCTGTTGGATTCAAATCATCACTTTGGCTCGGAGTGGGACACTCAAAAATGTTAGTATTACTTCCAGGAAAGAAACATGATCATCAGACTTAAATATTACCTTCAAATTTAAATCTGTGAGAAGACTGAATATGTTTATATTTGTCACAAAGTCAGAGAGAAGCTTTGCCCTGTAACCTCTTTTGATTCCAGAAACCTAATAATTAAATTGAGTGTTTCAACTTTTACAGTAGGCTTGGGTGCAAAAAATTTATATTTTTATAGACTTATATAATCTGGTTTACAGGGGGACTTAGGATGACAGAAACATTTCTCTGTGTCAGTAGTCCCATTAAAAGATGCACATTTAGTTTAATCTGTTTCTCATTAGGCTATTTATAAATGTTTATTTGTCACGTGTAATTTGCCCGTGTAAAGTTGATTGACTAATGCTATTAGCAAACCGAGTAGACATTATTTGATGCTTTAAAGCAATGAGGAGATAATGTGAAGGGAGACAGGGAGATAAATAAAGAGAGAAGACATGGGGATGGTAATGAGATGGTAATGAGACAGATAAGTCCTAACACAACCCTGGTCCCTCAGGTGAGCCTCTCTCATTAATTTGTTGGGAGATGGGAAACGGAATGACAAGCGGGAAGGCAGCATATCAAACACAAATGTGGTCAGAAAGTGGTGAGAACTGACAGGTAGGCACAGACATAAATTAATAGACTTCAGAAAAAAAAAGAAATAGGTGAACTAAACTTCACATAAGTAGAGATTAAAAAATTGGACTGTTGAAATCCAATCTGATTGAATGAGGATAACACATATTTGTGCATTGATTTCCGCTAAGATATGGGTGCAACACAAAGAGTGCTTTTAATTACGCGAGTCTTAACATTGTATGTAATTTAGATGATTGCTATTTATGTTTTCCAAAACCTATTTGTGGACTGAGCCCAATCAATCAAGTCCGCCTTTTTGCAACTTATCAGTGCCTTGAAATTGTGACTGTTATATGAGCTTGGAAAGTAATACATTTATTGACAAGAATTATGTCTGTAATAACACTGGAATGCACTGGCATCAGGAAAGTAATGGTAAACCTTATAGAAAGGAATCTTATATAAGCAATGATTTCACTAAACATGCACAAAATAGCAGTTTGACTGATGTAAATTTCTGTTTTTGCCTTTCTCAAAGTCATCGTAGTAGAAAAATGATCAAAACAATTGCAATCATCATAATAGTCATATGTAATTATCTAGAAAGTATCTTTTTTAGAAAGTATATGCCTAGCTTTTATCCAGGAATATATTTCATTTGCCAGGTGGCTTTTATGTCAATGCTTGCTTATCTGGGTCAGGTAAAAAAATATGTGTCAAAGTATCAGGCTCAGGATGGATTCGGGCAGCTCTGTAACTCAAGCTCTGGCTTAAAATGGGCCCAGCTGCTTTATAGCTTACATGTTCTGCCCCCAGCTCAAACCGATGAGCTTTCTCCTGGAGAGATGAAAGCAGAAAAGGGTTATAAAATTTATTTCGTTTTCTTTAAAATTCTCTATATTTTTGAGTTGCTATTGAAACATTCAAGTCTTAAAAAGTTGAGCAGTTTGGCTCTAACACACAAGCAATGACCGTAAAAATATAACACACACATCGAGACAACTTTGAATGCTTAAAATTTTAGAAAGAGTTAAGGTACAATTTACAAGTTTTGTTTCACCTGAGAAAAGATACTGAATTGGAAATAAGTAGTTCTAAAAATAAAGAAGGGCCTTAAAAATCCATTAAAGATGAGAGACTGATGATTGCAGAAGGTTGAATAACAGACTGAGTGTAGAAATCTTTGCTTCAGCACTATATAGCTCCTCAATTAAAACTGTAATTTATGTATGCAAAGCTATAAAAATACAGAGAAACATGCCCCTCTGATTTCTAGTTCTTTCCCTATTTTATTTGTGCAATTATGAAATTCAAGTGTTTTATTGAGTGTTTGTCAGTGTGAGTATTACAAAATTTATAAAAGCAATGAAAGAATAGAATAGGATAATCTTTATTATACCCAGAGGTGCAGTGAAATTGAGAGCTCCCACCGAGCCACCCTGCACCGCCAAAAGAAGAAGTCATTAAAAAAAGAAAAAAAATGACATAAAACAAGAAGATAAAGGAATGAAGGAATGTGACATGAAAGCTGGTTTATGCACATAACCTACAATAAGCAAAGCGCTCTGAATATCCATTTAAAATTAAAATCTATTTAGAAAGGCTCCCAAATCTCTTAAGCTGGCCATGCATTTGCATTCAGCTAATTTTTACAGCAAAATGAGATCCAGCACATTCTCCTACATGAGATCCACACCTCCGATAAGGGAGTATGTGTCAGTCATGCTCCCCAGAAAGTCTGTAAGAAAAAGTAGCAAGATTGATCAATTTCTACAAGGATGAGGTACAAATGTCATTCTGCATGTTTGAAACAAGCCAGATAAGGGACACAGCACACAGGTTGAAGAAGATGCTCTAATCAGATGAGAACAGAATTAAACTTTATAGAGGCTTGCCAGTGGGACAATAACCCTAATCATGCAGCCACAGTGGGATGGTTAAAATCAAAGCATATTCATGTGTTAGAATGACCTAGACTTAAATCTGATTGTTAATCTGTGGAAGTACTTGAAAAGTGATGTTCACAAATGCCCTGCATATACTCTGACCAAGCTTAAGAGATATTGGAAAGAAAAAATGGAAGAAAAAAAAAATCAGTTGCTATTTTTGCAGAATCAGAATACACTTGAAAAAAGACAAAGCTAAGCAAGGCTAACTTACAAGTAACTTTTCAGCAAGATATAGGAGCTTGATTTAAGCGAATAATGAAGTACCAATTCTACTGGCAAATTATTTCACTTAAAACATGGAAAATGTCTTGTAAGTGAAACAATCTGCCTGTGGATCTTATACTTTTATCCATATTAAATTATTGACTTAAATCAAACTCTGACACATGCTGAAAAGTTACTTCTAAGTTACTTTTGTCTTATTACAAATGTACTAAGATATTTGCGCTAAAATCTAAACAAAAATACTTGGTAGGTGCATCGGAGTGCTGAACACAGCAACAACAAAATGAAAAATAATTTCCTTTTCACATCATAACTATCTGCTCCTCTCTGATTACATAAAATTCTTTTCAAATAATCCCACGTTGTGGTTGTAACCTGAAAAAATGTGCAAAAGATCAAAGTACTGTATGTTCTAAAGAGAAGCTTCATATGTTTGCCACGCAGTTAAAATAAGGAAGGATATAAACACATGGGCTCCTCACCTTAAACTCTGTTTCAATGTTGGCGAGCCTCGCCAGTTCGTTGCTGAGCTCCAGGGCTGTGAGTACCGGGTCCTCGCTGCTGAGCGACAGGTAGGCTGCACTGGCCAGGCCCTTGTACGCATTCATCCTTGAGCGTGAGTGACTGAAGGAGTCCTTCTTCTGCTTCTCCACACATTCTGAGCATTTACAAAAGTAGTCGTGAGGCCTTTCGATGCGGGCCCCCTTCGTCAAAAGGATGTGAACAATCTCATACTCCTGGCAATGAGCTGCCAGAATGATGGGTGTGATGTCATGGGAAAAACGTGTTCCATCCTCGTCGTATGCATAGAAGTCATCATCTCGCATCTCTTGCTCCAGAGGGCTCAAAGCCAGACGGAGACCTCCACCGAAAGCAGGATGGCCAAGAATGGCCTCGACTATTCGGACGTAGCCTTTAGAGATGGCCAGGAGCAGGCCATCGCCGATCCGAGCCAGGCCATCTTTTTTCAGCAGCTGCTCCGTCACTTCCAGGTGTTCATTGCCCACTGCCAGCTGTAGAGCGTTCTGGCCCATGTAGTCCACACAGTTAAAGTTCAGTGTTTTGGACTCTTCTAGCATTTTGCGCACCACAGGAATGTTGCCATACTCTGCAGCATCCAGAAAACGTTCCTCCTCTGCAGTGAGAGCAGAGCCGCGCTCATTAAACATGTAGGCAGGACCCCGCACAGCCTGGCGACGCCCCTTTTCCCTCAGCGTAGTGTGCCGGCGATGCATGGCTTCCACTCTGGGAGAAGGAAAAAGACAGAAAACAGAAGTCAGTAAAAGCAATACTTAGTGTAATGATGGAGGAGAAATTGTGTTTAACACATCAGACAATTTTGTGATTTAGCTGTTAGAGTCAGAAAAGTATAACCAGTTACACTGAGCTGTGATACATCAACACAAAACTGAGTAATTTCTTTCTTTGTGTTGATTATGACGATGGCCGTGTTTAACACAGATTTCTATCCTGATCTCAGAGAAAAGACCAATCTTGACTAAAGCAACAAACTGCTACCAAATCTAAAAAGGTCAAAGCCCCCTGCTGCTCAGAGCTTTGACTGGCATGACAAGAACAAACTTTGTTGCTCAATATCTTTTGGTATGACAAAATACCTCTGTGGTCCAGTGATATTTCAAACGCGCTACTCGCTGATCTGGAATTTAACTATCATGAAAGAGTGAAAAAAACAAAAAAAAACTCCTTTCCTACAACATCTTGCTTTGTCAGTCACCAACAGAAGAAATCAAAACAATTAGAGACAGTAAAAGCAAAAAACCCTGCAGAACTTATGGACATGAGTGATTATAAAGCTACACTTTTAAAGTTTATTGTTTCCCACAAAAGCTTGTGACATAATTCCATTATTATTGACATTAATATTTACACAACTTCCTAAAGGTCCAGTTTCAAAACAAGCGTTGCTGCTAAATTACAAGCTTGTAATTTCAGTTAGTTGTAATTCCCTTTTGACTCCCTTTGTGTGCATGTGTGTGTGTGCGTGTGTGTGAGAGCAGAAAGCAGGACACTGAAGAAGAAGGCGAAAATGGAAACCCGTTCATGCTAGATGTATTCACCTGGGGGTTTCTATGGATGTGGAGCTGAGAAAATGAAGACGGCTCCCTATGCCAAATCCCATGCACATGGTCTAGAGAGGGTGTGTGTGTGTGTGTGTGTGTGTGTGTGGGTGTGCTCGAATGTGTGTGATTAAACCATATAAAGGTCAACAATGTTTTAATTTTTCATTTACACCATCAACATCTCAGGATGCCAATCACTGTAAGAAGGAAATCTTTCTTCATTCCTCGTACATTTAAGGTGTCAGACTATCCATGCATAATGTCAACATAGCATACATTACCTGCAACATGTAATGTAAATTATTAGCCCTACGGCAATCAGCATTCGTGTACGGCTATTGAGTTAGACTCTGTAGTTGATGTTAGCAGCTTCACGCCATCACCAAAACCTCCTGCATTTCAAAGCATTAAGAAGATTCCTGATTAACAGAACAGTCTGCCTTCCAGGCCATTTGGATGAACTTATAGTCAAGTAATAAATTGCCTTTTCCCATCTCTTTTAATCTCTTTCTCCATCCATCTTTGATTGTTTGTGATTTGGTCTAGAAATAGAATGATTTTTGCATCATAGCAGAGCTGAATTACAGCGATGTGGACAAGAAGAAGCTCATACAATTGACAGATAATATCTGTGTGCCTTTGGGGACAAAAGAAACCAAATTGCTGTAGGAGAGAAAGATTGCTTACATTACTTACGTATGATATGGTATGATTACATGCACACTTTGCACAAGGATGGATCTAAAATTGACTCATTTTTATCATTCTGGAAAAAAAAGTGGACAGATTATCTGGCACAGAAACAGGAGCCCCAAGTGATTTTTATAATAAAGCACATAATACCATGCATTATCAAATTATTCTAAAATTTATTTTATGCTTAACTGTTGACAAGATGCATACAATTCATGAACCGTTGTATGATTATTCTTGTACACCAGTTTAAAACAAGTGAGTTTATGTGAAAGAGGATCATCGAACTAAACAAACCAGAGAGCCAGTGGTGTGTAGAAGTTGATCTAGACTACTAGCTTTAAGCAACTTTTAAAGTTTTATTTAATTTTGTACAAAATGTACAAATATAAGTGTAACATGAAAACAAGATGCTGCTATCATTTGGCTTTCAGTCTGATAATTTATCCGGGGGGGATTTGGCTAATTTGGATATATTATTCAACAGCTACTGCACTCTATAGAGACCTTTGCAGTCTCAATATTGTACATACTGCTATTGTATGCGATAACAATGCACAATATATTGTTCAGCCTTGCATATATTGCAAAACTTTGACAAAAGGAATACTGAACACTTAGAAACCACAATATTAGACAATTACTTACTTAGCTGAGGGAATTTTCATATCATTAATCAAATTAGTTCATAGTTTGAGTAATGAAAATGGATTTACCAATCAGGTTCATTTAAAGTTCTTATATTTGCCTGATTGGGCATAAAGCAAATTTTAATAACACTCACATAATCAAATTTCCTTCAGGTAGGATTTGGTGATCATGCGAAATGTGTGTTTCTGACAGTTTGTCCGAAATCACAGACAGATTGTATGGAAATGCAGAGGAAATTTGATATATATTGAAAATAAATGTAACACTTGACAAACTGAAGAAAAACTCCAAGCTATTGAGTCCTGCACTGAGAACATCCATCCTTTTCATTACACTCTTCTGCTGAAAATAAATGATCACTCTTAAATCGACAGAACAATGTTCTGAGGATGATTCTCTCTCTAAAAACCAACATTTATGCAAAAGTATGAGAGCATAATTTAAAATCAGCATTTGGTCTTCACTACTCCTTTAAATTAGGCGCCTAAAACTTTAGATGAAGAACCAATGACATGCGAGTCCATGTCAATGTTTAATCTGAAACACAAAAGCAGTGAGCAACTAAGCCCACTTGACCTGTCACCACAAGTAATAAAATGGACATAAAATATTACTGTATAATATGTCATAAAATAGTTATTTAGTTCAAAATGTAGCAGAGGCCTTCAGCAGATTGCTAGACTAAACACACTGCCAAGAGGGACAGACATTAGCAATAATCTTAAAAAAAAAAAGTAGAATTAAAGAGAAGCAATCTGTTGAGGTTAAAGGAATCATATTGTCTTTATAAAGGAAAAATATAGAGGAAATATAGAGGAAAAATCTCTATTGACTATCTTTGGCCTTAATATTCTTATTCATGCATCACTTCCACTACACCTTTATTCACCCATTTAATTATATCTACCGAACAAAACTCTACAATCTGATCTTAATTGCTCAGAATGTGCTTCTTTTCAAAGCTGATCTCTCTAAGGTGTGAGCGCTGGGTCATTTATTATCAGTGCATGCAAACACTTATACCAGATCATTTACAGTTTAACAAGACATGAAAAAGAGAAGAAGATGAATTTGGTTTCAAGTCAAATACAAGGAGACCAGTTACAAAGTGTGAAAATTAATTTTTCAACTCAGATGAGCATAGCGATTAAGCACAGCTATCAATTTGTCTAATTTAAATACACGCCTAAATATAGACTTTCTAAGCCATTTTTCATTATAATATTGTAATGATGACAAAAAACATGCCAGTCCACCCTCTGTTACTTGCATTTTGGACAACACTCACATTCTTTTGACAGTCATTAGTAAAAGTCAACGTGCTTCTTTCCCCATGACAGACCTTTAAAGCTGAACCCTGGAGTATCAAAGAGGCAGACCAGGGAGGATCAAAGAGCCAATATAGAGGCCTGCCATTGCCAACTTCTGATAGTCATGGATATAAGCTGCTAAATTTTCATTACGTGCCATTGTGCATGTTCCTAGATCTCTGAGGAGCACTTCCACACTGGAGCAGTGGCTGTAAGCTGACAATGTTGAGCCTTATCTCAGAGAGAATGGGTTGCAAAAGTAGAAACTCTTGGTTTGATTGATTGCAAGACAGTCATATTATACATATATATATAAAAATAAAAAAAATTCCCTTCTCACCCCCCGCGGGTGGTCTCTTTCATCCTCTGAGCTCGGGTCCTCTACCAGAGGCCTGGGAGCTTGAGGGTTCTGCGCAGTATCTTGGCTGTGCCTAGAACTGCACATTTCTGGACTGAGATGTCTGATGTTGTTCCTGGGATCCGTTTGAGCCACTGGTGACTGCCAGTTTGACTGCCAGTTTTATATATATATATATATATATATATATATATATATATATATATATATATATATATATATATATATATATGACTGCATTGCATTGTAGTCTCTTCAGGTATAACACAGGCAAAACACAGTTAATACACTGAGTCTGAAAGAGTAAAGAGACGCAAAAAAATACAGTATTTATCTCAAGCTATTACTAGTCAACCAGGTTGATGCTTCTACAGAAAAAAGCCCCTACTTTCTTGATGTGAGACGCATTAAAATGTAGAAATTAGTTTAAAGCATTTCTTCTCACATGCTTGATGCAACTGTGTCAGCGGAGATCCTAAGCTCACCAAACCTGACCTGTACCTGTTGACATGAGGGATTTAACGTCGGTGATTAAATTCCCACAATGCAGAGTTTGCCTTCAAATTGCAATTGTCCAATATCCGCAAAAGTTCCTAAATGCACAGACTTTACGCAAGGCCTCGAAAATACATTAAAACTGAGAAATAAAACTGTCAGGACTCACGATTGCCGGCTGTCTGAGCTGAACTCGGTCTCTATGTGCTCAGCAGAGAAGTGGTTCCCGTACTCCGAGAGCTCCGGAGCCCTGTACAGTCTCTGTCCACGGTGCTGAAGGCGCTCAGTGCTCTCCGCGCCGCGTCCCCTCCATATGGGAAGCGGGTCATCGTGCTGTTCATGTCCGACATCTATCTGCACATCCGGCCGCGAGCGAGAGGTACACCCGGAGTCCACGGCACGCTGGCGGAACTTTGGCGGGGTGAAATGCGTGGAGCCCCCGAGTTCCCGGGTCCCTGGAGACGGGTGCAGACACTCTGAGGAGGCGAGAAAAGGCGGGTCCGATTCCCCAAGCAGTGGAGAGGCCGAGGAGAAGAAGTCCAAGGGTCGCGAAGTGGAAGGAGATCCTCGGGGAAGACTGACAGAGAGAGGCGGCGAGGGAGACTCCGACAGATGTGCTCTCCCGCCGCCGTCGCTTTCCTCCCCCCCGTCAGACATCGGGAGAGTTCGGCGGCACCATTTACTCTAAAGTATTTTTGCAAAGTGGCACATATTTCCTGTGTTTTTCAAAGTTTCCATTGAACAAGTTGCCGCTGAGACGCGCGGCAGTGAGGGGCAAAAACCTCCACCTTCACTCAGAGGTCCGCGCGCACTAATTAGAGAGAGAGAGCGCGCGCGCAGGAAGCCCGACCTTTTACAAAATGGAAGATGAGGAACAAGTGAAACACAAACAAATATTACCAAACAAGTGGAGACAGCCAACATAGACAACTATAATTAAACTACAGAGTAAAATAGAACTTACCGACATTTGTTATCTATAATGAAGCACAGCTAACTGATCAACTATGACAGAATGAGACCAGACACAAGAAATAAATATAATAGTCTAACACCGATATTTTCTTTGGACGATGTGCCTCATTAAAAAAAAAAAAAAAAAAAACCTTCAAACTAGATTTTTATATAAGTTTCAACTCAATCTAGATTGGACATGAAATGCGGATGTTTCTGCTTTTCTTGTTCTATAATGTTATTTTAAAAAACTTTTCAAAATAATCTTCTATGCACAGAGCCGCCCAAAAGTCCATTGGGGCGATGGGCAGAAATACCTTTGGGAGCTGAACTGCGTACAGGACCATTATCCATTAGCTACAACAGTATAAGTTTACTGTCTGGATGCTGTGGATTTAAAGAAAGAGGATGCATAAAATTTTATGTTGAGATCTTTCACTCTTCTGGCAAAATATTTCCTATTGCCAAATTATTGTGCCACTTGTGATGTCAGCAACTCAAATGCACATAAAATAGATTTAGCAGGGCATTTTCTTTTCTTCAGTCCACATATAAAAAATGCTTTTGTATAATTCTGACAGTCCCTACCTCATTATGCATCTCTCTTTCTATAGTCCATATACTTTTTAGAGGTGAAAAAAATATATATCCTAAAATGTATCTTTAAATGTTAGGAGTAAAAATTGTGCTCTATTTAGCAGGACTGCAGCCCCACTTGTTTTGGTGGATGCAACAAGACTAAGATATCACACTCTCAATCTGACAACTGTTTAACTCACCAGCTCCAGTCAAAACACTGAAGTCAGCCATTTTTTAATCCCTTTATATATGACCCGAGTATTGCACTTAACACAGCAGTACTTTTTAAAGGTGTGGACAAAAACTAAACACCATTTAAAGTTGTTTCTGTTAGAATTAAACAAGAAGATAATCCCTAGCTTGAATATCATCCATTTTATGTGTGTGTCTGTGCATATTAGTGTGCGTGTTTGGTCCTCTAATTAGAGGCACAGACCCATTAGTCATGATGGAGACTTCCTGCACCCACACACAGACAATAACCAGTCCTGACCCAGCTCTTTGATCCGCTCCACCGGACGCAGCCACTCGCAACACCTGTTTTCATTTGTGATTACGTGGGAAGGAAATCATTCACAAAACTCCCTGAAGTCTGAGCACTGTTCTGCAGAAGAAAGCTTCCTTCATGTATTAAAATAAATGTTGCACTTACTGAGTAATTTGGCTTACAAGCCAAATATGTATTCTTCTGTGAGAAGAAAAATAAACTGTTTAGACGTAAAATTTATTCTCTGATCACTGTTTTTCCACAGTCCATAGTTTTCAAGGCTCATATGGGAGGTCTGAAACTGCTCAACCAAACGGCAACTTAACTTCTTAATTCTTTATGTTGTAAAGAAAACGATCAGATTTTACAGCATAAAAATACCAAGCAATCAGTAAAATGAGATAAAAAAAAATATTTACATGCGTGATCTAGGATTTCTTTTGCTGATGCTGAACACAAGTATGTTTCTAGTGGATACTGCACATGTGTGCAGTTTTGAATTAGGGATAGGCTCAAAATTTAAAGCATTTGCGTTTTACATAATTGCTCAAAAGTCAAAAACTCAGTTTGCCACTCAGTCACTTACATTAAAACAAACTGTTTTGCAAAAACTGAAAATAAAATGCCAAGATCTAAAGCAACAGTCCACACTAACAACGGAAAATGGCAAACTACATTATCAAATATTATGAAACACAAAATGCTAAACTGAGGAAAAGCTATTGCAATCCTAGAGCAATATATAAACAATGTGAAAACACTAAAATGATTAAATCAATTAAACACTCAAACCACAGTTGGTAGGAAAAACTCACTTTATATTTAGATGATTTTTTTATTTTTTATTTTAGAAACAGTGATGAGTAAAGGTTTAAACATAAGCCATGGTTACCTGCAGCAAAGTGTGACTCTGGCATTCACATCCATAGTAAATGTCTAAAACTACGACAGTGTTAACATCTCAGCTTAAGAAAACATGTCATGTTCTTCTCTGGTTTGCTGTTTACTCTGAGCGAAAACATCCTGCTGCATTACACTGCTGTGTCCATCAGCAACACGAAACTATAGCCCCCAGTCAGCTCCCTTACTCACTTCCAGCACTAATGATTGTTTTTACACTACACTGTGAAACTGGAGTCGTCTGAGAAAACTGTGACATCCACAGAAAACAAATGAAAACACAATACACAAAGGCCTGCGTCTTATTACTGAGGTCAAAGTGCTAACAATTACGCCTCACATTTTCATTTTACAATATAAAAGCTTCCTTTTATTGTAAATCAGTGCAGTGGAGAATTTGTCAATGAAGGATTTAACATTTGATATTTAATATTTTAAAGACTTTAACTTTCTTTAAGCAGGAGAACATATTCACAATAAGAAAACTATGACTCCAAGTTCACACAAACAGAAATATCATACCTGCCAATTAAAACATTCAATATAAAAAAGCAGAACCAGTGCACAACAGGCCTGATTTAGGCTTATGCCACTAACCCCTCAAGCGTGTGCATGTAGTTAAAAGCTAATTTTAATACTGCGAACAATATTTTGATCTTACTTCTGAACAGGGATTAGTCTAATGATTTTTAAGTGCTATGTTAAAAAAGTGCTCTTCTTGATGCAGCATTTTAAGGATCTCTAAGGGAAACTGCTTCGTGAAAATAATCCACTTTGCTGTTGATTTTCATAAATCTGAATACTCTCAGTGACCTCTTTTCAGTTGCAGCTGCAGGTATTAGTAGTTTGTGAAAAAGAATGTCCCTGTATATTTTAACTCCATATCAGACATTGAAACATAATTAATATGAAACTCAATTTAATTATATGTGAAAACCCTAAATGCAGACATGTTTTGAACCAACTACACTCCAGAGTAAATTTATAATGAAGCAAATATTTACTTCCTCAATGTTGTTTTAAAATCTATGAATCAAAACACTGAGCAGGATGTTAAGAAATGCAACTGAACCTGAGCAGCTCAGGGACTTTGGGAAGAGCCAGACTCCATGGTCTGTGGAAGGAGTGAGGCGAGTTAAAATCACTTCTGTCAGGGAAGAGAAAATAGTTAGAATTAGCTTTTTGGACAGGTTGGTGTTTTTTAAACAGTAAAGACATAAAGAGAAAAAAATAAACAAAATAAGAACAAACATTAAAAATATACTTCAGTTCAAGGAGGCAATTTTTGAAGTTCTTTTGATGATGAACTGAAACACTTAATTCTGAAAAGATTGAGAATACTACTCGAGAAAAACACTAGTAAGCTTTACAAGACAGAGGTCTAAATTTATTGGAGTTTTGTTGTTCTCTTGGTTATGCATAAAACAAAGATTTTACAACTGAGCTGCATAGTTTGTTCATTTCAGACTGAAAGTATGATTTGCACATATGGATTATATCCGTACCAAATCTTGTGCTTTTCTAACTTTGGTCATAACAAACCCAACATAAATTAGACTGACAGACTCACAGCAGTAAAGTCAGTATTTGAGTCAGTGTGCTCCTCATATAGATCAGAGGAGATAAACAGAAGATTTCAGAACTACTCTGCAGAAACCAAAAGCTAACATTTGGTAGCAGCATTAAAGTAACATAACGTAGCCTCAAGCCAAAATACCCTCTTACTGCTGCCACTGCGAGACGTCAGGCAAAGAACTGAGGATCATGCACGACTTCTTTCACTCAGCAGACCTGATAAGCAGATGAGCAGCAGGTGAGTCGATTCCTCTGCAGGAGATCGACTCCAGGCATGGGGATTGATCAGCAGCAGCAGCAAAAGCAGAAGAAGATGGAATAAAAAATAAGATGAAAAGCAAAACTGTAGCTAATCTATCCCGAGAATCTTTACATGAAGTACTTAGTAATTGTTGTGATATGGAGATTCATGCCTACTGTAAACATAAACTAATTAAAATACCCCAGAAATTCTTCACATATTAACATCAAAGCCACAAAGCTCAGAGTGTTTTATTGGTATTTTGGGTAAAGAAAAAAAAAAGTTGTCTGTGATTAAGCTGGGGAAAAAAAATTTTTTTTTTTTTTTTTTTTCAATTTTGCATTCTTTGCCTGATTTTAAACCTTTAAATGGTGGGGAGGCAAGTCTGTAATACATCAGTCTCTGAAAACCATTTTAGGGACTTTTTACTGTAACTGCAATTAAAGCATTATGTTACAAATTTCAAAACGTATCATACACCGACTACAACGCAGATCTCATTCTCTGAACATTAAAAACACTTGATTTTTAGAAGATGATGCTGAGAAGACGACAGCAGTGAGTTTTTAATTGTACACTTTATTGATTACTGTCATGATCCATGGTTTCTGGTCTTTCAACATGTTAGTTTTGTGTTGGACTACTTTGATTTGTAAGCAGTTTCTGATGACAATAAAAGTATTAGTTGTGGTCTCTACAAGGCTGGTTTTTAGGGAAAGAAGACCAATAGAGGACCACTGTGGAAAGAAGCTCATAAAATGTAAACTTGAAGTTTGCCAAAGTTTACAGGACAAGACACAAAACAAACATGTGGACGAGACCAAAATTGAACTTTTTGGGCGTCATGTTTTGTGTGGCAGAAAATCAAAGCTGCACATTACTCTGAAAACACCATTTTGATGTTTCAGTGTCTGGTGTTTTCAGAGTGATGTGCAATGGAAGCATTATGCTGTGACGATGCTTTTCATCACCAAAGCAGACTAGAGTTGTAAAGAAGATAGATGAAATTCAGTTGAAGACAAAAACTCATTAGAGTTCTGCAGTTCTGGCAGTGTAGAGTGCAGAGTTTACACTGCCAGAACTACAACGGAATAATTTATGGAAGAAAATGGCCCAGTTAAAGTCCAGACCTAAATCCACTTGTGCGTTTTACATTTTGACATTGTCCAAAAAAAGAAAAAAAAAAAAGACTTGCAGCAAAAACTTGTTCTACATAATATGTTTCTCTTCACAAACGTGCTGCTTTATGTTGTTTTGCCTTAATATAAATATACAGGAGTTTGTGATTATAATGTGACAAAATGGAAATGTGCAAGAGGGTTTTTTTTATTTTATTTTGGAAGGCATGATAACATTTGACGGAAATAATCACTGCTCTGCTATTAGGAATCTGCTTATATTAGTCTAGTGAAATGTTGAAAATAATTATTCCTCGTTTCATCATTCAAACGGGTGATCAGGTTTTAGATAATGTGAAGACTCTGTGTGGGTCTGAAATTTGGCCTCAGTCCAATCACTTCGTCACAGTAGGGGGGATTTATTGTCTGTCACAAGTATAGTTCCTGCTGTGAAATCACTGATTGGGTGATAATAGAAACACAACAAGCTTGAGCAGAACATTTTTCTGCCCAGTGCGATCTGGCGTGAAATTGCCATTATGAAAACATTTTTAGATGAAAACTCTCACTTGCAAGGATCCATTACTCATCAAAGTCTACATTACATGTTATTGGAGCTATAAATTCCCATTAGTTTGTTTATAAATAGATCACAAGACATCTTTTTTTTTGGCATGATAAAAACTGCTCATTTAATAGCCACTCAAGGAGCTTTTTTCTAAAATGCTTAGTCCGACAGAAAACAGTTTAACAATAATAACCATCACATGTGCAGAACAGGCACTGCTTCCAGCCGATTCCATCTGTGTTATCAGCTAGCTGCCTGCAGCACCTGGTGACAAACCAAGCAGACGTACCCCTCAGACAGCTAAGTCAGTTCAGTCTGTTGGATAGGTTGTCAGGGGGGTTTCCTTTCTCTTGTGTCACTGAACAGCAGAACCGCCAGTGTTGATGCGAGCGATCACTTACTCTGGAATAAACCTTCCAAGTTCTGGTTCCACATTTGACAGTTGCTTTGCCTCTACAATTGTTTGGCATCTTGACAGAAACTCCACCAGAAACCACTGACAGATCATTAAGACTGGTCTTGTTTGTGGTTTTGGCTGAACAAAGAAAGCTGCAATCCCCCGGCTTCAGCACAGTTGTCAATCTCTGTTCTTTTCATTTAAGCTTGTCAAGAGACTGCAGGGCATAACGTTGTTGTGCTTCACCGGAAATGGAAAACAAAAGTTGGTCTGAAGCCTCTGAGAAATAAATTTTTGAAGTTATTTGGTGCAGCAGAAGTGTAAAAATCATCCAAAAAGTTCTCCTTGTTTACTCACCGTTAACGGACCTACATTAATTCATCTGCTCTTCTTCTCTGAGTCCATCTGCTGAATGATGTTCAGATTTTATTAATTTTTTAACATGCTGCATTTATTTTATGGACTTTCACATTTTAATCATTTCACTATTTCTATTCAGCAAATTGACCATTGTACTATTTATGAACTTTTTGTTCCTGAATCCCATTTTAAGTTATGTTGATAGTCTCCGTTTTTCATATTTTTGGGTGATACACAACTGCAGAAAAACTAGCTCAAATTCTAAAAAATGTTAACAGTGAAGGTACCTAACGCCTAGAGGTCGTGTAACTTCAGTTATTTTATTCTTCTCTTGATCTTATATTTATTACATCTGTAGGAACCAGATTTCTCTAAAGGCTACACATTTAGTGCTATCCTCGTGGGTTTATAGTTTCATTTTCACAGATGGGATTTTATAGCAGGCAAAAACCAGTATTAGGAAATTTTCATATTTTAGTAGCAGAAAGCAACAGAGACCATGAAATATATTGGGTGTTCACAGCATCTCTGCTTGCTAGATTTTGATGAATGACTTTTGACAGAGGTTACGACAAGATTTTCCGCCGAACTTGTTTTCATTAAATGCGCAGGTGCCTGTGCCGCTCACAAAACACAGTTTCATGCCACACAGAAAATAATCCAAATTTATGCAAATAAACACTGTGGAGAGGAAAAATATGATCCTGGTCCATTTTGTTTGTTATTACAGAGCCAGAGGTGATACAGGAAAATGTTTTGAGATAATTAAAAAGTTAAAATCCATGACAGACTGAGTAATCATTGCTAGTTATTGTTTATAGCACTAAAACACACAGAACTCTAGGTCTTTTGAAGCATTCAAATTAGCCTGCAGACACGATATCCAGGGCATTAAACCATCTACAGGGAGCAGATAAACTTGATCAGTAATATGCTAAGAATAAAGGATATTGAATTACTGATTTTTTTTTAAACATTCTGTTTATTCATTCACTTCAAACAGGGATTTTGAGGAAGAGTAATTTTGGTAAAAGACAAACAAATTAAAGGAAAAGATGGGACAAATAGGTCGATACCGTTTCAGTCCTTTGGTAAATCAGTCAATGTGTAGATTACTTTATATTTAATCAAAACTGGCTTGGTTAAGTTTTTTACTTAGATTGCCTAAAAATGACAGGATCTGGTGGACCAGTCTATCAGTCAAACCTCTCTGATGGGAGAGCAGAAAAAGACAGTTGTTGACTTTTAAACCTTCTTGAGATCGATAAGATCGGCCACCAATCTCCCAAAATTAAGGAAATTGGCACTGATAAATCAGTACACCCTAATCTGTGGTTATATTCCTCTAAAGCCATGGACACTAAAACTGATGAGCTATAAAAATTATTGGTGTCGCATATCAAATTGACAAACTTCAAGTTCTACTGTAGCAATATAATTAAATAAAACATTTGGAACTCTGCCTTTTGGCTATAATGTGCCATCACTATTATTATTATTATTAGCCCCACCTGCTAACCCACTCAAAATGTTTTAATAGGCACACAATAGATTACTGTTGCCAAACTCTATGTAACCAAAATCACAAACTTTTTTTTGGAATGCATAAGTTTTGCAGAGATACTGTTATTGGAAAAAAAAAAGAAGTTATAATTGGATTCATACTTTCACCTCTGTGCTTGCAATTTAAAAGTGCAGCTTGGGACTTGTGACAAACTTGCAACTACCAGCCCGTGTAAAGTGGGGGAAATGCAGCTTCATTGCCACATGTGAAGCAGAACATTGAAACCTGCCATCAATTATCCCCACCAGTGGCCTTTACTGGGAGGATCAACACTGGCGGTGGGTCCCAGGCTGCTCCCTCAGCTGGAGGACTGGATGCCACCACTCTGTGGTCCAAAGAAGACGGCTCTACCACTAAACAATCACAAATCATTTAAAAAAAAAAAAAACATTCAGTGTGTGCCTCTTTGGTAAATGCCAGCAGACATAAGCAACACAAGTGATGATGTTCAAATCCCTCAGGAAACCCAGATAAAAGCCCTCGCAGACATAAACAGAACTGTTGAAACTGACACCTAATAGTTGCATTTTGAATATCAGCAGTGATCCTAATCTACTACACTCGGTGAAATTTACCACCTGTTGCTTTTCATATTAACAGAACAAAGTACCATCATTACAGCACTCACAGGAGACTGAACAGAGTTATTTGGGTGTTTCGAGGACCCTCAGTTTTGTTGTGTCCCCACACAGCCAACCTACAGCCGCACGCTGCTTCCCTCTGAACTGTGAATGACTCCACGCTTTCAGCACCGTGCTGAACCCACAATAGCCTCACATGTGGCTTGTTACACATCCGATTTCTCTGCCAAACCCCTTCATCTCAGTCTCAACCACTTTTGACAGCCATGGGAAATCCATGCTGCAAATTGAAAGAGGTCCAGGGAGAATAAAGTGGCGGGCTATAGATTTCTCTTTTCACAGAGCCAACCAAAGACGTGACAGCGACGCAAGGCTTTGGTAGATGTGAGAGCATTACCATGACAGCTGGACAGCGAGCTGCAGAAGGGTTTTAATCGAGAAATAAATCAGACAAATGACAGGCAAAGCAAACCAACAA